TTCCAAAAGACAGTTGAATTCAGAAAGAGATTGCAGCTAGTATGGAAAAGAAGATTCCAGATGTTACAAGGGCTTTAGAAGGCCAAGGCATAGAAGACCACTGCTGATACATGCTGAATATTTGAGAAAGCCAAAGAAAACAGATTTCTGGGGGAAATATAGCAAACTGAAGACAACTCTGTGAAATTGACAACCATGACAAAATCCAAAGAATAGGTAAGCATGTCTGAATAAAAAGAGGACCGAAGCACTCACTTGTGCTTGGGATGGCTGCTTCCAACAAGGATACCAATTGGAAGACAATGCCTCCCATTTCCAACCCACTTAGCTGATCCAGAAGAATACCATGATCAATGATATTGAAAACCTCTGAGAGATCAAGGAGAATCAAGATGGATATACTACCCCATTCTGAGGTCATTTACAAGTGTGATCAATGATTGACATTGATCACCCAGGCCAGATTCTGGCCTGAATCCCAAATGCAGTAAATCCTATTAATCTGCCACTGATGGCCTCCCACCGACCAGTACGCTCCCACAGAGAGGGGCTCCTCAGGGTGCTGTCGGTCAAACAATGCCGACTGGCGGCCCCCAGTGGGAGAGCCTTCTCTGTGGGGGCACCTACCCTCTGGAATGAGCTGCCCCCGGAGATACGGCGGATCCCGGATCTACGCACCTTTCGCCATGCCCTAAAGACATTTTTATTCCAACAAGCCGGGCTGGCCTAACTCTTTTAAATTGTTTTAATTTTTAAATTGTTTAATTATGGGTTTTAATACAGGGGTGCTTTTAATTGTGGGCCAAATTAATTTAATCGGATTTTAATACTGTTTTTAAATTTTGTATTTCTTGTGTTTTATCTGTTGGCTGTTCACCGCCCCGAGTCCTTCGGGAGAGGGGCGGTATATAAATATAAACAATAAATAAATAAATAAATAAATAAATAAAATCCCCTTTCTCTTGGAAATCTTGGAATCTCCTTAATTCTACTGGGGATATATGGGAGAAAATGTGGGAAATTAATATAAATTTACACTGTGACATACTTTAAGAGAGAACTTTTATGAAATGACACTATATGACACCAATTGAACCATCAAAAATGTATGCTGAAAGTGTGAAAAAGGACTTATTAAGTGAATTTGTACGAAGAGTGAATGAGACATCAACTCGCATGTTTCACCTGACCTGGATCTTATAGAGAGGCTATCAGGATGTTCTTCGGACTAGAGATGTGTGGTAATCAAGAGAGGGAAACATCAGTTACAAGTACCTTGATAACTCACAGTCACATGGGAACCATAAGGAGGAGGAAAGGAAAACAGTACCATCCAAATACCACCAAAGGATCAGACAAATCTGAAAATCCAGCTTAATGGGAAGAACAAGATCCATGCCTTCAGCACAGTGGTGGGTTGCTCCCGGTTCAGGCCGGTTGTGGCAAACTGGTAGTGGTGATGAGGTGACGTCATCAAACCGGTTCTCTTTGACTGGGAGCTGGGCTCTCCCGCCCGCCACCGTGTTATACCTACCTTTATTTCTCATTTTTTAGCTCAACTGATAGGCGCGGCAGGGTGGATTGCCGCAACTCGGCTGGGCAGAAACCTAATGCGCTTGCACGGAGCGCAAGTTTGGCGCATGTGCGAGCGAAGTGCGTGCGCGAAGAGAACCTGTGGTAACACTGGCTGGAACCCACCACTGCTTCAGCATGTGTGCTCTGCCCGTCATCAGATAGCTGCTGGTATAGTGAGCTGGCCAAAGAAGGCATAGAAGCTGCCAATGTGAAAACCTGGAAGCTCCTCACATTGTAAAGAGGTTTCCACCACAAATCTGACACCCAGAGACTATACACTAGCTGGAAAGAGGGCAGTCGAGATCTGGTGAATGTCAAGGTTGCTGTCCTGGATGAAACCCAGAGCATCCAGAAGTGCTATCAGTAAGATGGCACCTAAAGATGAGTTGCTGAGAGAATGCCTGAGGCAGCAGCAGACGTAGGAGGAAGATCAAGCAGAGGAAGTGGCATAACAAGACAAGACTTTGTATGAGATGTACCATTAATAGCTGAGGTGACAAACTTTGGAGAATCCTACTGGTGCTGGAGAGGGCTAGACTAAAAGACAACGCTGAGGCACTAATCATAGCAGCACAAATAAATGCATTAAGCATCAGAGCCATAGAAGCAGTGGTCTACCCCCCAATAGACAGGGCCCAAAGTGCAGACTATGCAGAGAGGCTTCAGAGACTGTCCAACACATAGTTGCAGGTTGTAAATTTCAGGCAGGAACAGCATACACTCAGCTGAACCTGGTGGCACAGTGTTTAGAATGCAGCACTGCAGGCTACTTCTGCTGATTACTGGCTGCCAGCAGTTCGGCAGTTTGAGTCTGGCCAGCTCAAGGTTGACTCAGCCTTCCATCCTTCCAAGGTCGGTAAAATGAGGAGCAAGATTGGGGGTAATATGCTGACACTGTAAACCACTTAAAAGAGGGCTGTAAAGCACTGTGAAGCGGTGTATTTGTCTATATTGTCTATATTATGAACATCTTTACAAAATATGGGCTAGAGAATAAGAAAGCCAAGATCATGTGGAACTTCCAGATCCAGACAGTCTGAATGTTGGAAATTGACCTTAAACAGAGAAAAGGAAGAGAGAGAGAAGAGAGGAATAAGAAGAAGATAGAAGAAATGGAAAAGATTTACTTTAACCACCTGCATTAGACTTTGAAACTTGAGAAACTGTTACTATGCCTATATCTCTCTCGCTTAATAAACCTCTCATGGAGGATGAATATGGTGTGAATATTATGCATAACATCTGTATTATAGAGAATCCCAAATAAGAAGCAGTTGCTAAACTATGAATCTTTATGTGAACATGATGTGAATATATATGCTAATGATACTGCACTGCCAATTATTATTAAAGAAAAAAATAATTATGGGAAACTAGTAGGATTGAAAATTAACTATAAAAATAAAAACACTTTTTATAAATATGATTTCTACCTCCAGAAGGAAATTAAGAAAAATAGGACATTGTCTCTGTCAAAAGTCAGTAGGAATCAATACTGTAAAATATGGACAGTCAGATGGGCAGCATATAAATTTAATAGAAACAATTCTGAAGTCCTGATGTCAGAATGTTCAGAGTCCTCTAAAGCAGGGGTCCTGAAGCCCTGGTCCCTGGCCTACTGCTGGGCCGCAGCCCGTTTGAAATTGGGCTGTGGAAGCAGTGAGTGAGTGCATGCAAAACATTATTGGAAAATTTAGTTATGACCCCAGGATACATTTATTATCATTATTTAGTGAGACAATTGATAGAACTGAAAACATAACTGTTTTAATACAGGACGGTTGCTGCAATGTTGGCTATCACACAATGCTGGCAAATACAGTCTCCATTGTTAGATCTCTGGTGTGAAAATGATCAAAGATTGTTGTTATGGAAAAATTAAGGTATAAAAAATGGGGTACGTTGAGATATATTCGAAAAATTACTTTTGACTTGATTTGGGAAAGAGATATTCTTTTTGCAAAACGTAATAGGCCAAATTCTTTTTCTTTATCCCAGTGTATACAAAATTGTTGTTGGAGTCTTAATTTGTTCTTAGATCTTTCTAATAATTTTGTTAATTCTTTTGTGACATGTTTAACTTTTACCTGCTTTCTTGTACTCTGTTATTGGTTATTGCCAATATATTTGGCATCATATATTTCTCACTCTGTATCTGTGGTTTGATTTGTTTTTTAAGCAAAATAAAGTTAAAAAGGGAAAGATGTGTAAGCATTTCAAGAAAGCATGAAGCAGCAATCCACTCCAGTTGTTTTGAAGATTCCTTTTATTGATGAGCATGGAATAAAATATGGAGACATGAAACTGCACATGTCAACTATGATTTACATAAAGATAGATAAATCAGGTTTAATTTGGGGGACATTGACAAATATAAGTACATTGTTCTTTAAAAGATCTAAAAATCACTTTTCATACAATAACTGCTAAGGACCCTTGAGTCTTTATGCCAATGCAAAATATTTTACTAAGTTTCCTAATCTATCAGTTGATGTGAAATATGACTTTCATCATCTCAGATAAGGTTGTATTTGATAGGGATGAAGAGAACTATATTTCCAAATAGTAACTCAAAGACAGTAAACTAAATAAAAAACAGGAAAAAAGTGTTGCCCAGATTGCTACTACTGGTAATTAAATTAAAGGTAGGATATTGGTGGAAAGGTTACAAACAGGCTGTTATTTAAAATTTACTTTTAAAATCATCTATAAATTGGAGATGCAAAATGAGGAAAAGAAAAACAAAGAAGAAATGAATTCAAAGTTGAAAAAAGACAATTTTTGTATGACAAGTGTCTTTTCTCAGTTGTAAGCCTGATGAAACTGCTACATGATTGGAAAACAGAGATAGTCTTCCAGTATATGTGTGTGTGTGCAATTTGTATTCCACCTTTACTATTTTTGATTTATTTATAAAATACTTAACATACTTTATTAAGTATGTTCTTTCCTCCTGTTTTCCCCATAACAACCCATGATGTGGGTTGGGCTGAGAGAGACTGACTGGCCCAAACTCATCCAGTAAGGTTTCATGCTTAAAAATGAAAGTTTCCCAGTTTGTCTATTAGACCAAACTGGCTTTCTTGCAGTGACAGAGAGGTTTGTAAGAGATTACATTTAAAAAATGCATCCAAAACCAGGTTTGACAATAGCAGTATGACGGTTCAGACCTGAAAAGGATTTGAGCCAAGAGCCACATCAACTGGAGATGATGGGAGTTCCTGAGTAATAGATTGGCATTAACTGACTTTGGAAATCTGGTATATACTGGGAGAAGAAAATGATATATCCCAGAATGAATATAACCTAGCATTTATGCATAATGCAGGAAGTTGTCAGAATTTTCAAAAATTAAAGATTGAGCAAACATTATCAGAGAGCAGAGAAGGAGTTCTTATTCAGGGACACTGATTTGAAAAACTTACTCCATTGAGTTCTGGGTAAAAGGCTTGAAGTTCACTTAGTTTAGCCATCGAACAAAACTTTCCAAAATTCTTCAGCAGCAGATCTTGGATGCCAATCGTCCCTCCATCACATGCTGACCCTGCAAAGAAGCAGTGATCAGATTTCATATAAGGATAGCTCTAATACAGTTCATTCATAGGCATACTATATCTAAGCCACAAATTTGGATGTTCTCCAGATGACAGCAAAGAAATGGCGTTTTCTATATCACTTTGATGTCATCCAGTATAGAGGCTGGCAACTTGGTGATTGAACAAAGTAGTCATTAAGTGAAACCATGACTGAATTTATGATCTTCCTTCAGCTTTCCTTGAAAATTTGCAGACCTGCAAATTTTGTAGAAGTGAGGCTTGGTAATAAAGTCATTTTTTTCTCACTGTCATAACTGCAAATGGTTACTAAACAACAGGGGTATTAATTCAAAATTTTTCCCTACCAGTTCTGTGGGTGTGGCTTGGAGAGCATGGCAGGGGAAGGATATTGCAAAATCTCCATTCCCACCCCACTCTGGAGCCAACCGGTATTTGCTGGTTACTCAAAATTTCCGCTACCGGTTCTCCAGAACCTGTTAGAACCTGCTGGATTTCACCTATGCCAAACAAGTATCTGTAGATACCGGAAACGAAATAAGCATTACCTGTAGATATCTGAATTATTACAGTAGAGATATGACTTTAGACACATAAAAGTATACAAGACCATCAAAACCACATATCCTATGGTAGTATTTATGTATTTATTTACAAAACATATTTCTATGTTGTTGCAAGCAAAATGATTCTGAATAGCATATTTTATATAAATATAAATAAAAAAGCTTATAATTTAAAATATACAAAATCCAAAAACTAAAAACAAAATAGCAATACACTGACATAAAAATGAAACCGTTTATTATTAGTTGCTACTAATAGTTATTACTAGTCTGGTCCTATCAACTTTTTCCTCTGTCTCATACCCACCTAACATTTGTAGGATCCAAAATTCTAAGCCTAGTAAGCTTTACTATTTCAGATTTTAGCTGCAACAGCATCTGTTGAAGTACTCTGTTAATATGTTCTTTCTCTATATAACAAATTTAGAGATTGCCCATCTCATTCCAGAATGATTACTTCTGTATTATTACTTTTATGGATGTATGGGAGATCCAAGAGGAATTTGTTCAGACCAGGATGTAGCCTTGATGTTCAATGGCAAACATTAATGACAGCACTGATCACACTTGTAAATGACTCCTGGCAGGCTCAGGGTGGGTAGCATATCCATCCTGGCCCTCCTTGGGTATTTTTCAACCATGGTATTCTTCTGGATCTTGGGAATGGGAGGCGCTGTCTTCTAATCATTCTTAACTCTTTCTTTGAGGACACTTACAGTCCAGGGGAAACCCCCTCACCCAGGGGGTGAGGGTTAGGTGGCAGGGAGAGGTTCTAGGTGTCTACTTTGTGGGATTCCATAAAGCTGGATTCTTTCCCTACTCTTGTTTACTCTTTCCCTATTCTTATTCAACAACTACATGTTTAAAATTTACTGTATATAAGGTTATAGAAAGCGATATGTATGCTATCTGGTGATACTGACATATACACCTGGACCACTTGAGTGATGCTACTGAGGTGTTTTCTCAGCTTCTGGAGGCTATGCCAGTTGGATTGGGACGAACCAGCCTCAGCTCAGGCCCAACACAGTGGCCGTACATCTCCCCACCCCAGTGACTTTTTGTTGTTGTTGTTAATTCTGAATGGGGTTACTGTCAGCTCTGCCATTGTCAGGTCCACCATTATCTCCTGCCATTCTGTTGGAGGGAGAGGGAGGAAGGCTCACTGGCATTTTTGAATGCTTTCACTTTTGCTGTAACCACTTGGGAATTAGGGAGGGGATTATCTTTGGAGATAGAGTAGACTCCCTCCCAGCCAGTTCCAGCCTGGTTCCAAAACTGTCGTGCACTGAGAGCGAACTAGCACTTCAGCGTTTTCAAAACAACCTTCCAACATCACATTGGCTGGTCAGGGAAGTTGGGTTTGGGGAAACGGAAGAATTGCTTTGTGCTTTGCATGGGACCTTCAGATTCCCGCCTGACTTCACTGCAAACACTTTCAGTAGAAGTTCTTTTGATTCAACTTAATGGAATCAAGACTTTTGCTTTCCTCAGGGACCAGCTGGGGCAGGTCCTTACATTAGGCGGAACCTGGAGAGGTACACAGCCCTATCGTGGGGACTGTGCACACAATGTCAGCCCAAGGCAGCAACCAGGAGAAAGCTGAATGCTGGGGGAAAGTGTTGTCCAAGCCTCCCTCCATGCTAGACCTCTCTGAGTGAACAGAGGAGGTCAGGAGCCTGGGTCCATCAAGATCCAGATGGTCCATAGGAGTTGGGAAAAAGGAAGACTGGGAAGAAAGAACCAAAGGGGTAACTCTCACCCAAGGCAGACGTGGTGGCTGATGATGGCAGTGGCAGCCAGAGCTGGAAGAGCTTGAGGACGAGGAGGAGAAGGAGGGCGGGGAAGCATGGAGAATCTGACTATGCTGACCTAATGATGAAGCAAGCTATGTGGTTCATGATGAATGCCTTCCAAACCCTTAAGGCATATGAACCCCATGCCATGATTGCGAGGCCCAATAAACCCAGGAGGAAGAAGATAGGGGATGAAAATTCCTCAATTAAAAAGGATAATTACTGAAAATTGGGAAAGATTTGGAAAAATCTACAAATTTCATGGATGGGAAGAGTGGCCGCAATAAAAATGAACATCCTGCCCAAAATTTTGTTCCTTTTCTAGGCTATACCAAGAAGAATAGAAAAAAGCTTTTTTGATATGTTAAATAGATTTATTTCAAAATTTATATAGCAAGGGAGAAAGCCCAGAATTAGATTAATAACCTTACAAGATACTAGGGATAGAGGAGGAGTAGCCCTCCCAGATTGGGAAATTTATTACCAAGCAGCATGCCTAACCTGGTAAAAGGAATGGATGGAGTTGGGAAATAAAAGAATGTTAACAATTGAAGGCCATGATTTACAGATAGGATGGCATGCATTCTTATGGGGCGAAAAACATAAAACACATGGGTACTTTAGAAGACATATAATTAGGAATTTATTATTATTAATTTGGAATAAAATTAAAAAGCAACACTACATGAAAATACCATTTTGGATTTCGCCCAATGAAACATTAATGCATCCAAATTTAATAGATTGGACTAAAATAATTAGGTACAGGGATATATTAAATGAATTGGGAAAACTAAAAACAAAACAAGAATTGGAACATGATATGAATAGGGAAGTGGAATGGTGGACATATTTGCAAATTAGATCAAAATATATAGAAGATACAAAGACTAATCAGATATAATTGGAGCAAAACGAATTGGACAAAATTATATACGGGAGAGAACAAAAATTAATCAGTAAAATATATAAATTCTTATTACGGTATAAAATGGAAGAGGAAACAGTGAAGGATACTATGATTAAATGGGCAAGGAATTTCAAACATACGATAGAATTAGAGAAGTGGGAAACGATGTGGAAAACAAATATGAAATTGACAATATCAACGGCATACAAGGAAAACCAGGTGAAAATGTTTCATAGATGGCATCTTCCGCCAGCTAGAATAGCAAAGATGTTCCCTAGTAATTCACCGAAATGTTGGAGATGTAAGAGTAACTATGGAAAATACTACCATCTCTGGTGGACCTGCTCTGTGACAAAGCAATTCTGGGCTAAAGTTAAAAAGTGTTTAGAAGAGATAATACAGAAAACGATACAGGGAGAACCAGAGCAATTCTTACTAGGGATTTCCATAGAAAACTACACAAAGGAAATACAATATTTAACATTACACATACTAACAGCAGCCCGCATAATCTATGCGGAAAATTGGAAGAAGGAAAGCCCACCAACAGAAGAAGATTTAATTAAAAAAATCTTAGAGTGCACAGAGATGGACAAACTAAGAAAGGAACTCAAAGAGAAAGAGGATACAGAATATTACAAAGTGTGGTGTAGATGGTATGAATGGTTGGAGAATAGGAAAAACAAGAAAGAGGAATAAAGGAAAGAGGGGGGGAAACTATTCATGATCAAGGCAAAATGTAGACGAAATAAAGGAAGTTAGATAGTATAAGGAGATTAAGATAAAGTTAAAATATATGTAAATGATAAGAAAGGATCACATGAGCTGTTAAAAAAAAGTGATATGTGAATAAATGTTACATGTTTTGTATGTTTTCTGTCTTGTTTTAATGTGTTTTAATGTGTTTAAAATAAAAAACTTTATATATATATATGTATATGTATATGTATAAGTATATGTATATGTATATGTATATGTATAAGTATATGTATATGTATATGTATGTATGCATTACTGTTTTAGCCAGGGTTTTTCCTACGTAAATCAAGATGTTTGTATAGCCATAGTTAAGTGACATCCCAAATCACTATTTTCTAGGCTTTATCAGACATTTAAGCAGCATTATGTTGTCTGCTGCAAGACTTATGGGAGACTAGAATAGATCTATTTCTGCCTTATTTGGCTTCATCAGCTAGCCACACCCTCATTTTATGACTCCTCCCTGTAACGGTCAAATATTTATTTTGTTCATTTTTTTTTTTTTGTCGCTTATCTATATTTGTTGCGATAGCTCCGACCTCGCAACAGAGAACCGATTGCTTCTAAATGAAACAAAAGCCTGAAGATGACAGGGTTGTGAGCCTGTCGAAACGTTGCTATAAGAAAAACTTTTAAAGTGACTGGTAGGATTTTAGCTGAGGTTTTAAAGACCTTGTAGAGTGCTCTGTAAGGATATTTAGAAGATTTTAAACTGGGATTTTAACCAGAATTTTAAATATTTTAACCAACTTAATTACAATGACGCGGGAAAACACCCGAGATTTTAATTTTTTGCATATGCATACCCGCAAAAACTTAAGAAGACATATATATATGAGTACATATACATATACATATATGTATGTATATGTATATACATATACATTAAGAATACATATACATATACATATACATATACATATACATATACATATACATACATACATACATACATACAT